TAGAAGGCGCTCACCTTCGACTCCCATATATTTGACCATCTCTGGTGTTATACCATCATGACCTGCTGCTTTTCCCAGCTTAATCTTCTCAATAGCTGCCTTCAATTCTTCCATCCTGATGTTATCTTCCCCATGATTGAATTCCTTCTCAGCAGTGAGGTCCATTATTTCTGGGTCATGACTTCCCTCAGCGCCGAGGAGCTCTGAGAAGTATTCTTTCCATCTGCCCATGATATCATTTGTAGAAGTAAGCAGAGCCCCTTCCTTGTCTTTTATGAATTTAAGTGGGCACTCTTTCTCCTTCCTCATGTTCTTAAGGGTCTTGTAGAACAGTTTTTGGTTTTCTCTTGCATTCTTTTCCAACTTTTCTCCAAACTCTTCCCATGATTTCTGTTTTGCTTTAAGCACAATATTTTTGGTCTCTGTTCTGAGTGCCACATATTGTTTATATTTTTCTATTTCTTCAGCTGTGTTCCTGGCTGCCAGGTATTGCTTCCATGCCCTTTTCTTTTCTCCTATTTTCAATTTGACTTCTTCTGTCCACCAAGGTGTCCTGTGTCCCCGCCTTCCACTTGGGACTTCACCACATGCTTCTACTGCAGCTGCTGTGAGGATATTCTTGAATCTGCACCAGAGAGTTTCAGTGTCCTCTGATGATTCTTCTTCAGTTCCTATTGCTTTCACTATAAGCTCCTGATATCTAGCCTTAATATCTGGCTCTCTTAGCTTGTATGCTTTAATCCTCATCCCTTCTTGGTTGCTTTGTTTCTTGCATAGTTGTCGGTGTTGCCTTGTTGGAGCAGTTCTTTCAGTTGTTCTCTTTATTGTGACCAGATAGTGGTCACTTCCAATCTCTGGTCCTCTCATGACTCTGGCATCTCTCACAAACTTGAATGAACTTTTCCTAACTATGGCGTAGTCAATGATGGATTTTTCATTCTTTGAAGGTTCACATCTTGTGTATGCATGTATACGCTTGTGGGGGAATTTTGTGTTTGTAATGACAAGGTTCTGTTCCCTGCAGAATCTGAGAAGTCGCTTGCCATTATCATTCAAAACATCTTCACCATATCTCCCGATCACTCCACCCCATCTAGAGTGATCATTTCCTACTCTGGTATTTAGATCTCCTAGGAGGATAATTTCATCGTGACAGTCATCTATGGTCTTTTGGAGCAGTTCAAAGAATTCTTCTTTAACATCTACTCGCTCATCTTCATTTGGCCCGTACACAATGACAAAATTGACAATTTTATCTTCTTCTTTCAGATCTAACACCATTATTCGCTCTGAGATGAATTTCCATCCTTTGATGTTACTAACTTGATTCCTGGCCACAATACAGCCAACACCTCCCTTGGCTCTCTCCGTCATAGGGACACCACTGTAGAGCAGCATACTTCCATCGTGATCTGTGATTCCTTGCCCCTTTTTCTTGGTTTCAGTCAGAGCCAAGACTCCTAATTTTGCTTTCCTCATCTCCCCTACTAACTCGTTTTCCTTTCCGTTAATGCCTCTTATATTCCATGTTCCATAAATCGTAGTCCGTAAGCCATGCCAGTTCGTCGCCGTTAAGATCCGTCCGGTTTTCTCTCTGTAGTTACTTGTAATCGTGGTTTAAGGCAAACAGGTGATTGGCCTGTTGTGCCTTTGCATGGTGGAGGGGCTGCCTCCTTGCGGCCTCCATGCAGGCCGTCTGGCTGATTCACGGTTACCCACTACTTCCGGAGACGCATGAAGCACTCAGGTTCAGCCAGACCCTCCTCCTTTTACAGCCGGGCTTGGGACCGGTCTTAGCGGAGTTGCATATCATGGACAAAAAGAATAATCCGTCTGCAGAGTCTGTGAGGAAGGCTGAAGTTGATCTTGTCACCACTGAGAACATGCATCTGTACTGGCAGAACACTAATATTGTCAGCAAAACTGTCATCTTTTGTCAGTTGTGAACTGACATTTTGCCCACAGAGACAGAGCAGTCTCAGCGAGTCATCAGACATAACAACATGAGGTCAACATAGTGTAAGTCTTGTGTAGGCATTACTAGAACCCCAGCTACCAACAAAAGAAAAACAAAGACAGATTAGCAACCTTTTCACCCCGGAGATGCTAACAACAAATATTGGTCATGCTCTGTTAGAATTTAAGAAAAAAATGTGTAAAAACAACAATTTTTACATAGGTCATCAATAAATTTGTTAAAAATGAAATGATTTACATTTTACAAATATTTTCAAAATATGTAGTTTTATATAGAATGAGTAATAAGGTTGAATCATAAATTGAATACATTCCATGGGGGGCCTAAAAAACACAGGTGGCTTATATAGTGACCCCATGACGTCTGTGAGGTTTATGAGAAAATCTGAGTCAGCTTGATGAAACCATCATTGTTCAAGCATACTGACATATTGTATACACACACATATACAGCAAGCAGTTTGTTGATTATATCACTAAATATAATACATATACAGCAAGCAGTTTGTTGATTACACCACTGTATAATCATTTAACATGTCAACACTGTAGGTTCTGCTGAACACTGTGGCAGTGGCTGGCCTGGCCAGAGATATCCTTCTACACTGCCTGACATCTGTAAGTCAACCATACACCGGCAGTCTGTCTACAAACACTGTAGTCAACAATACACCCAGCAGTCTGTCTACAAACACTGTAGTCAACCATACACCAGCAGTCTGTCTACAAACACTGTAAGTCAACCATACACCGGCAGTCTGTCTACAAACACTGTAGTCAACCATACACCGGCAGTCTGTCTACAAACACTGTAGTCAACCATACACCGGCAGTCTGTCTACAAACACTGTAGTCAACCATACACCGGCAGTCTGTCTACAAACACTGTAGTCAACCATACACCGGCAGTCTGTCTACAAACACTGTAGTCAACCATATACCCAGCAGTCTGTCTACAAACACTGTAAGTCAACCATACACCGGCAGTCTGTCTACAAACACTGTAGTCAACCATACACCGGCAGTCTGTCTACAAACACTGTAGTCAACCATACACCGGCAGTCTGTCTACAAACACTGTAGTCAACCATACACCGTCAGTCTGTCTACAAACACTGTAGTCAACAATACACCCAGCAGTCTGTCTACAAACACTGTAGTCAACCATACACCGGCAGTCTGTCTACAAACACTGTAGTCAACAATACACCCAGCAGTCTGTCTACAAACACTGTAGTCAACCATACACCGGCAGTCTGTCTACAAACACTGTAGTCAACAATACACCCAGCAGTCTGTCTACAAACACTGTAGTCAACCATACACCCAGCAGTCTGTCTACAAACACTGTATGTGTGTGTCTCTCACTTGACTTCTCTATCGTATGTCTGTCAGTTTACTGCTCTGTTGTACGTGTCTTTCGGTTGACTTTTCTGCAATTTGTCGCTAAGTTGACTTTTCTTTTATGCCTTCTCTGTTATGTGTGTTTCTGAGTTGACTTCTCTATTACATATATATGGCTCAGTTGCCTTCTCTGATATATGTGTCTCTGAGTTGACTTCTCTGTATGTGTTTTCTGTCCATTGACTTTTCTGTAATATGTGTCTCTCAGTTAGCCTCTATGTTATATGTATCTCTGAGTTGACGTCTGTTATGTGTGTCTCAGTTGCCTTCTCTATTGTATATTCTGTCTGTGAGTCTACTTCTCTGTTATTTTTGTCTCATTTGCCTTCTCTGTTATATGTTGACTTCTCTGTTATTTGTCTCTCAGTTGACTTTTCTGTTTTATGTGTCTCTGAGTTGTTGACTTCTGTGTTATTTGGTTCTCAGTTGACTTTTCTGTTTAATGTTTCTCAGGGTTGACTTCTCTATTATATATCTGTCAGTGACTTGTCTGTGACATGTTTCTCAGTTGACTTGTCTATGATGTATTTCTCACTTTACTTGTGTCTTATGTCTGTCACAGTTGACTTGTGTGATATGTCTGTCTCAGTTGACTTGTCTGTTGGCCTGTACAGCTTTGAAGTCACTAAATATTTTAGTGACATCAGTCATGTTTTGTTTATTGTTAACATTAGGATGAGTCTGTCAATGATGAAGTGGTTTAGCTATTTTCAGTGTATGCTGAAGAGTGTGGGTTCAGTTACAGGCTGTCGGGGCTGAAGATGTTTTGCTAAGAGTCATTTCTAAGGCTACAAAAGTCTCACTCTTTGTGCTTTCGCTCAACAAGCAAACCATTGCTTTACAAAAACAGGGATTGATCCATCAGCAATAAAGTCATTCCTCTTGTCTGTAAACATGTTTTTAAAAATATTTCTATATAGTGTTGGGTGTTTCTATCATTGATACCTCAGTATAAGATTGTGTGTTTCTATCATTGATAACTTAATGTAAGGTTGGGTGTTTCTATCATTGATAAATTAACATAAGGTTGGGTTTTGCTGTCAATGATAACTTAATATACCGTTGGGTGTTTCTATCATTGATAACTTATTGTGGGCTTGCAGCTGCCGGAAACTGACAATGCTCTTTGCCCCAGAGCCATGTGGGAGGATCTGTACCAGGAAGTCAGCCAGAGGTTTGGGTCACTGTTTGTGCACACACAGATTGATGGTAAGACTTTTTACAGCAGTTACTGCATGAGATATCTCATCCTTCTTCCAGTGATTTGAAACAGTCATAACCTTTCCCATATATGTAGAAGGGTAAGGAATCTCCTTGCTATCTTTGAAAAAAATTTTCCTAAATTAAAAATCTACAAGGAAAATCAGCTATTATACTAAGGATGTAAACAATCCACAGTTTTAATGACACAGGGTTACTTCAAAAGAAACACCTCTAATTAGTCTACTTTTACGACATGTTTGTTATGGGATCAGTAGATCTTTTCCGTTTTCCACAAAATGGGAGCGCAGAATCCCAGCATGGAGATTAGAATGATATATCAAATAAGACACAGCTAGAAGATTTCTTACAGGTAAACCTGACACAGACACAGACCACTACTCTATCATGTTCATGTCATGTCTCCTCTTACAGTGGCAACAGCAGTCAATATGCTTCCTGTACTGTGTGAACTTGTAGACAGCCCCCAGGTGTCAGTGACCAGGAAAACATCTTCTTTCAAGTCTGTCTATCACGGTAATCCAAAGTTGATTGTCTCTATCAATGATTATAGCAATTATTTGTTTCACAGTGTTGTTAGAAGTGTGAACTATTTTACTAGATTCAATATTGAACTTGATGGTTACTGTTTAAGTGATTTTCACTGTTGCTTTGGATGTTTAATGGTTACTACTTTATTTGATGTTTACTGTTGTACTTGATGATTAGTGTTGTACCTGCTGTTTACTTTGCTAACAATTACCTAACAGGCTACCTAACAGATCATAACCTCATAATCCATCACAGACAATTACCCCACTAGTCATTCATTTACTATTTTCCCACAAAACCCCACAGACCATCATCTCACATCTTCTTGTATTCATAAAGTCAACAAGTAGTGTCCTTATGCCATTGCTGCATCAAGCATCTGATGCTAAACTCATCTTTTTACAGACCAACGCATTTAGTGGATGATATAGTGGGCATGATGTCTTGACTTCACAGGACATTACCTGATAGCCATCTTAGGCTGGGTCAACCTGAATTAGGTGACCTGGGAACCAAGTTCAATTTTGAAAAATATCTGACTTGGGTTACTTATCATGTATTGGCCCGCACAGCAAGAATTTTTTTTCCCTCACATTTATGCTGCAGCCAGTCACACGGCCTGTCCTATGTTGTGGGGGTGTCATGTGTTCCTTTTTTTCATGGTGTAACCGTTCTCTCTTTTCTCATCTTGACACCGCACATTTGCGTTATTATTTCCACATTGTGCTTCTTGCCCGACAGTTCGTATCAGAAGTGGGTTGTTTATGTATTTCTACATTTCTTGTCAGTGGCTTCTTTTTCTGAGGGAAAGCCACCATCAAGGAATGTAGAAATACAAATACATCCCAGTTTCGATACTCCTGAACAGTTGCGCTTTTGGCGCTTACCCCTCCAGTACTTCTTACTTATACACTTAGGCCTCAAAGAGACTCAGGACAACACAACCTCTCACAAACATTATATATGGCTAGCAAACGCTGAACAAAGCCACCACAAAATAGGACAGCTCATGCGACCGACTGCGGCAAGAATGGGAGGGAAAGGAACTCTCGCCATGCAGGCACATTGGTGAAATGTTCCTTTGACTTGATGTCGATTTTAACCTAAAACCTTCATTCATACTCCACAAGCAACTGTACTGAAGACACATGTCTTTCAAACATCTAGTCTGCCTGTAGGTATGCCTCACAGACTATTATCAACTGTTTGCCTGGACTAATAGGTCTCATTTTCTGTTGTTGCAGCAGTCAAGCTGGCAGGCATGTCATCTGTGAGAGGTATTTCTCTCACATGGGCATTGAAATACCTGGCTTGTGTCACAAACATCATGTCTAAACAGGACAGTAGAACAGGTACACGTCTTTGGTGTTAAATCTTCAACATTGAACTTGTCACTGTGTTTTTATTTCTACCACACAGGACTCCAAGATGAGATTGCACGTCAGCAAATAATGTCTCTAATTAGTGCTCAACTTTAGCCTGTTGTGTGGACAATTTTGCCTTAAATGTGTGTCTGACAGCTCATTTATTGTATGCTTTGGATTGAACACTGAAAAACCTGCACTCATTGTATGTATTGACCTCTTGCTTAAAATACCTGTCACTTTTAAGTGACTCTTTATGTTGTTTACTTTTGTAAAACATTTTCTCCATACAAGTATGTCCCCTTTTCTGAACTCTTGGCTTGACATCTGGTTACTCAAAGAGCCACTGTTTGTATACCAATCCTAGATAACCAGTTCAGCTACATAAAACAGTTTTATAGGGATGACCTACAGCTACAGGAAGTAACTTCTTGTCCTGCGTATGCATACTCTCAACAGAATTATACTTGCATTCAGTTCCTGTGACTCATGTCAGAGTGTGTGTATTTTTTCCCCTGGTAGAGTTAGGAGTATTACACAATCTTCCTGCGATACCATGTGTATCAATTGGCTGTATTCTGTGTTTTTTTATAAACATCAAACATCAGTGCTACCAGCACTGCTCAGAGATGACCACTTGCTGGACATCTTACAAGACTCCCTGGGTAGCAGTGACTCAAGCACATCAACTCCAGCCCTGTGTTTGTGTGCCTGGTTCGCAACTACAGAACATCAGTATCAGGTCAGTGGCCATATTCTGAAAAACTCATCTTCTCTGTGTGGATTCCAAGGCCCCATTTTATGGGGGGGGGGGGGGGAATACCCCCCCCCCCAACCCCCCTTCTCTCCCCCAAGCATGTCATAAGATAAGAGGGGACTAATTAGGGGTGTTTCCTTTAAAGTTGGAAGGTATCTGCCTGAGAGGTGAGAAACCAAAGTCTGCATACAAATAAGCCCAACATGTAAAATGGATGTGCACACAAAACTTCAGTTCTGGAACAAGACCAAAGTCCAGAAGTGGACGAATAACCAGAAATTTTCTATGGAGTTTCCTGCCGGTGGACACTAAAAAGAAGAAAAAGAAGAACAAGAAAAGAAACCTTTATCATATCATAATACTCTTCTTCTTCATCTGCCTTTCATCTGAAGCAGACACCCTCAGCCAACTAACACCATACCCAGTATAGTGTCACACCAACCTTCCTTAGTTGACTCTTCTGACAGGCATGGTCAGCTCCAGTGTTTCTGTTATTTGCATCCTTTAGTTAATCCAGTAATGGAAGCATGAATGATCACATCACAGAGTTGAACTGTCAACCCCAAGAATTGAACTGTTTGTTCTGTGACTATTTTTTACTTTATACTCATGTAACTTTACATCTTGCTTTTTGTCCTCTTCATTTTGATTAGCAATTTGTTCCTTTGAAAAAGTTTACTAGCAAAAAAAAAAAAGTGTACACATAAACTTACAATATGTATAAACACAAACTTACAAAATGTGTACACATCAACTAATAATATGTGTTGACATAAGCATAACATGTATGTTGTCACAGAATCAACCATATGTGTACACACAACTTTTAGTATGTGCAGGGCTTTTTCTGTTTTTAAAAAGGTGCCAGTGCTGACCACAAAGTATTTAAGAAAAGGTACCCATATTCACTAAAAAAAAAAAAATTAAACTAATCCCTTTATACGTCTTTTGCACATCGGGCATATGGGAAAAGCATCCATATTTTTACAGACCAATCGGCACTCGGTGGGTAATGAGGTCAGCATTACACCAGCCGTCTTTACTTTCTCAGGACATGCATCCTGGTACCCATTTTAGGCTGGATCGACCCACGACGCCCCATACCATGATAAAAATCCACGCAGCCAGCAGTGGGTTCCAATTGCGGTACATTGGAATTACGAGTCGGACTCGCAACGCCTTAGCCAAGGATGCTGCACCCATACTCACTGCAGAATGTATATTACAGTACTGCTGGGGAAAAAATTGCCTAAAAGGGTGCTCGTACCACACACTGTTGCACACCACCTGAAAAAAGCCCTGAGTATATCTTATTCAAAAACTCAACCAGTTGAAAACCAAGGACTCAGACAAGCCATTGCTTAAATCATGTTTTCATATGTGACTCACTATCAGCCTGTTGAATGATTAACCAGGGTGAGGATATTGAAACTGTTTAACTATTGCTAGTGTAACTATTTCAGTACTGATTTTGTGTCAGGTAACAAGTGTCCCATAACTCTCAAATACACCACTGACAAGTCTTCGATGTGAGCATTGTCCACTCCACAGCCACCCAGGCCACTATTGGTCACTTCTGACTTCCTGTTGTCCAGCCTAGCATCATGTAAACACACTATTTCTCTGCCTGTTCTGAAACTGCTGAAGGCAGCCTTAGCCACCATGAACCAGCATGCTCTAGTTGTTAGCAAGTGTGTCCACTTTGTGAAACGGCAGTGCAGCTTCACCTCTACCACAGTGTTTTCTACAAGAGAACTGAAGCAAGTCTATCTATATTTACAGGAGATAGTGGTGAAAGTAAGTAAATGTCTGTCTAGTACACTGTTGTTACTGAAGCAAGTCTGTCTATATTTACAGGATATGGTGGTGAAAGTAAGTAGATATCTGTCTAGTATTTTGTTACTGAAGAATTCTTACAGTGGCCTGGACCTAGAAGAGAAAACAGCACAACTGTTAACATCTCACCCACCCATATTGGAACAGCAGGTTACTTTACAACCATTGAGTGCACCTATATAAATATTTTAAACAGTTAAACAGGCTTTCTGGGATTTCCACTTGTTGGATTCACATCTAAATAGGAGCTCTTTTGGTCACTAGGATTGCACTTTTAGGCTTCAGTCTCAAGGTAAAAGGTAAAAAGCATCTTTCTGTGCCTGCCTTCCTTTCACTTATCTTCAACTTTTACCTGGAAGAATAGCTTAGAATAGGTATCCTGTCATGTTACCTGCAACAGCCAGGCAAGCTGTGGATTTTCACACACTTGTGGTTCCTGATGGTCAGGACATGGCTTTCGTCAGATAAGGCCTCATGGCAAATTTGGTGACGTCACTTCCTTAGGCAGAAGCAAAATGGCTTTCCAATGTGTTTACATTTGTGTTCGGTTTTATTTCTGTTGTCATTGAGTAACAATAATAAGTGGTTTCACCTTCACTTTTGATTCACTTATGAGTGGTGTTTTCAGCGATTAGATGTAACAAGTTCTTTGTGTGATTTTCTTTGGATTTATCTTCAGTGTGTTGTGTTTTCGTGGAGCAGCACCTCAAAGGTAAGAGGACAAATAATACTACACTTTAATAGCTTTATGTCTCTTGGTTTTACAAAGCCTCTTAAATGCAGGTTCATGCAGGTTAAATATTTCTAAAAGGAATTATTTACATATTTCTTCTTCTTCTTCTTGTTCACCGGCTGTGAATTCCGGCGGTAAGTCACGGTTGTTCGTCCAAAATGGACTTTTGGCTTTTACCTTGACCTGAGTTTTGCGTGTACATCCGTTTTACTGGCTTATTTGTTTGCAGTACTCGTTCCCCGCCTCTCCGGCAGATGTACTCCGACTTCGGAGGAAGACGTCAAGCCTATTTCTAGGTTGACTGTGGCCATTGTTTTGTGTGGGTCGAGATGTTACCTTATTTGTGTGGTGTCCTCTTTGACTTTTAACAAGTGTGGCCCCCGGCATGTCGTCCTTAAGGCAGCTCTTTGTAGAGTTTTCAGCCCTCAAGGGAAGGCAGGGGCAGATCATGGGCATTCCCCGCCATCCAAGGAGGCTTCCATAAATGCAGAGCCGACACATGATGCTCTGGTTCTGGGCTCACCCAAGGAATCGTCACGTCCTGCCCATGACTGCTTAACCTCACAACCGTGTATTGAGCTTCCCGCGCTACAAGGCTGCGCTCACCGGAGAACAGCGGGGGCAGCCCGCAGGTCTAGGACGTTTGTGGCCACACAAATAGGTACATTCTTTTTCATCTTACGTTAGACACCTTTAACGTTGTTTCAGCTGTGCCCTTAGCACGACATAATGGGGAAGCAAAATGCGTCAGGCGTGGCTTCACCTGTTTGGTCCCAACACTCGGGCGAGTTGGACCAGTGGATACGGACATTCAGACTTTTCCTAATCGGTACGAGTTATGATCGTCGGACTTTGAGCTTGCATGTGTGCCATGGGGTGTAACTTTGTCGGACATTGTTTTCAAGCCAGCATATGAATAGTTGCTGCCATGGTGTACCTCAGTGCGGTGACGACGACACTGAGGATTGACAGAGGGTGTACGTAGGTGGGATCTTGCTGCGAGAAGTCGCCCACAAGAGATGTTACTCGTCTTGGCTGCGGGTAAATCTCTCGGTAAGGGTTGAGTCTCAGCAGCACAGTTTTCCATTCGCTCCCAAATTTTAACCAAGAGTTGTCATTTGATGGCACATTTAGCAAGCAGTCCTTGAGTTTTGTTACTTTTCACCCATGCGTTTGGTGGCGGGCTGGTGAGAGCCAGAAAGGACTCTACACCTCTAGGGGCCGCCAGCTCCGAGATCCCCTGCCAACTCTGTTAATGCTCATTTGAGACATTATCCGTGGCGCACGACGGAGACGTGCAACAGGAGTCTTGCATGAGGTTCTGTAAAACCAGAACAGTGAAGGACTGGCGCCCGAGTGGGGTATGGAATATCTCCTTATACACATCACATCAGACTCAACTTCCCCTCATGCCTGTGACTGAAATCACCTCGCCACTTTAGATATTTCAAAGAGGAACTACCAAAACATTTCAAATAGGAACCATTGACTTGTTTCTAGGAGGAATTATTAATACGAATCTCTTAAGAAAAAATATTAATATAGTTATGACAGTAACTGCTAATATCTTTCTTAAAGTAACTGTTAATATATAATTATTTATTACATACACTACAAACTCATTTTAACAAAAATTGACAATAAATCTCTAATATAAATTATCAACAGATTTAAACATAGACTGCCAGTAAATCCCCAGCACACACAGCCAACACATTTTAATTAAATTGTCAACAAATCTCTAACATCCACTGCTAACAGATCTTTACATAAATTGCCTATAAATCTTTCATACACTGCCAACAGATGTTAAAACAAATTGCTAATAAACTCTAACATTCACTGCCAACAGATGTTAACATAAATTGCCACTAAATCTCTCATACACTGCCCACATTTTAACATATATTGCTAATAAATCTCTCATACACTGCCCACATTTTAACATAAATTGCCAATAAATCTCTCATACATTGCGCATGAACAAGGAAACCGACTGCGCACCAACAGACATATGCCAAACCAAAAAACACAAAAAGAGAAACTACAGCAACAACACACTTGCATCCCTTGAAATAATGGACTGTCCAGTCAGCTGTGGAATTCCCACAGATTCCCTCTGTTTGGGGTACGTAAAAAATATTGTACCCAAGTTCTGTTCTTGAGCTTATTCCCAGAATTTGTGTGGGGCGTACTCAGGGGATGGTAGGAAACACATAAAAAATAAAACTGACTGTCAGAGTGAAATTGGAGCGTATTGTTAGCCTGGGGTGGTGACTTTACTTCAGCCTGATGACATCAGCCCCATCTAGAGAAAGCCTTGGTCTGCATTTGGTTCATACATTGTCTCTGGCACATACATTTTTTTTAAACAATTGTTTTGTGTTTATTTGGCTATATATTTTTGTGTTGTAATTGCTTGCTGATATATGATTACATTGTGTTTACTTAGCTATATGTGATTGTATATATGATTGTGTTGTGTTTTCTTGGTGATATTTCATTGTTTAGATTTACAATAATGAAAACAATAATGGAGGGATATATGCTTGGGAAAAGAGGAAGAGAAAGGCCAAAGGGAAGATGGGTGCTGGATGTGGTATATGATCTTCATATGGGTGTAACAGATGTGGGACATCTTACTTGTGAGCAAGATGTTTTCTGGAAGGTTGTTATGGGAGCAAGGTTCTGCAAGAAACAGTGTTTACTTGGGGATATATGATTGTGTTATATTTACTTGATGATATATGATTGTGTTATGTTTACTTGATGATATATGATTGTGTTATGTTTACTTGACTATACAGTAGAACCTCGCTTAACGAGCACCTGTCATAACGAGTGATTCGCATAACAAGCAAAATAAAATGTAAAAAAATGACTTGCTTAACGAGCGACGTTTTGTATAACCAGTGGCGAGGAGAGAGGAAGTCCTGACTTGTGCGCATGTTACATCAGTCTGTGTTCAGCACTTGTTCCCGTAGCATCGTAGTGTCGCTTGTGATCACACATTTTCTCAAACTTGTGTTATATTGTGTTAAATGTACATCAATCCTCCAGGCCTACAAAATGATCTTTCTGAAGAATTTAAGTTCATCAAGATCCAGTTTCTGCCTCCCAACACCACCACTCCGTTACTCCAGACCATGGACCAGCAAGTTATTTCTAACTTAAAGCTCTACACTAAAACACTCTTCGAGCATTGTTTTCAGGTGACTGAAAGGACCAACCTCACTCTCAAAGAAAATGATAAAATTCACTTTCAGATCGTTGCCTGCCTCAAGATGATCGACAAGGCTGGGAAATGGGTTACCAAGAGAGCCCTAACTTCTGACTGGAAGAAGCTTTGACCAGAGAGCGTTGTCTATTTGCGACTTTGAGGAGTTCGAGACAGTACATGTGGAACCTGTAGTCAACTAGATTGTGTCTTTGGCCCTATCATGGGATTGTAGATGGATAACAGTGATATCGAAAAGCTTGTAGAAGAGCACATCCAAGAGCTGACCACCCAAGAGCTTATGAAGTTGCATTGTGTTTCACAGCAAAAAGTTTTAGAAGAAAAATTGTCAGAGGATGAGGTAACAGAAAAGCAACAATCTTCTGGCGCAATAAGAGAAATGCTGAAAGTATAGCAAACTGTTGCATCTTACATTTAGAAGCATCACCCTAATAAGGAAGTGGGTATTCGTTTTGCAAATTTATTTAATGATAATGCTGTGTCGCATTTTCACCAAATTTTAAAGCGTCGGCAAAAAAAACAAATTTCTCTGGACATCTTTCTAGTAAAAAAATAATAATAATAATTAGCTATGTATCATAATTATTTCGACTTTTTTTGCCTTCAAATCAAAGTCGCATTGCGGGTGGGTTCGTTCCGCGTTTGAAGAAAAGATGAAGATGATTCACTCTCCTTAAACAATATGTATATAATTTTCTTTGAATAAACGTTAAACATAGCATTTTGTGAATTTTTTTATTTTGACATGGAACGCATTTACATTCATGTATATGAGAAAAATTTTTTCGCATAACGAGTGTTTCGCTTAAAGAGTATGATTCTGGAACGAATTACGCTCGTTAAGCGAGGTTTCACTGTATATGATTGTGTTATGTTTACTTGATGATATATGATTGTGTTATGTTTACTTGATGATATATGATTGTGTTATGTTTACTTGCCTATATATGATTGTGTTATGTTTGCTTGCCTATATATGATTGTGTTATGTTTACTTGCCCCTATATATGATTGTGTTATGTTTACTTGCCTATATATGATTGTGTTGCATTTACTTGATTATATTCGATTGTGTTATGTTTACTTGACTATATATGATTGTGTTGCGTTTACTTGATGATATATGATTGTGTTATGTTTACTTGATGATATATGATTGTGTTTACTTGGTGATGTATGCTTGTATTGTGTTTACTTGGCTATAAATTTAATCCACTCACATGTTTTCTATATTCAACACAGGAGGATGTGAAACTCAGGGCCGAGGCAGTTGAATGTATGAAAGTGTTGTTTCACACAGATTCAGACATAGGTAGGCTGACGGGCATTCTCTTGGCATGTGTTCTGATTGTCCCCAATTTTCTCAGTTTCTGGTTAATGGTTGTTCCTGCATTTCCAAGCCAGCCAGGCATGCAGCAGACATTGACTAGAAACTTGGGGTCATTTGGTCCTGCACTGATTAAAGTAATTAACTTGATAATGTTGCCTCTGATTGTCTCATGACATCTACAGCATACACATATGTATGTGTTCTAAAGGATGTGACAAAAGAAGAGGTAGATCTGTGCCTAACCCAGCTGGCAAGTGGAACTAGAAGTATGCATACTCTGCGACATCTTTCTGGGGAAGACTGAGCACATTCAGCATGTCTCAAGCCATATGAGATAGCCCAAGACAGTGAAATAAATCCTCTTGACATTGACTTTTTACTTTATTTGCTTAGATCTGACACTAAACAAATGGTGTATGGTGAATATGCCATTTTATGTTGACTACAAATGTTAGTACCCTGTATGGTGTATATCCTGGATTAGGAGCCTGTCCTACTTCTAGGCACGTCCACCAGGTGGCGGATGGTGGAAAGGCCTCTAGATATAGAGGTTAGCCACGAATATATTGAATAAGTGGCCATGGACCAAAACAGGTGATGGTCATTGAGAGGAGGCGAGTTAGTTGGTGGGACAGCTAACTCTATAAAATACCTCAAAACTCTACGACATGGCCATCGGAGGGTAAGAGGCGCCATAACCTCTCCCCCCTGCTGCCTTGCAGGGTAAGTCTCTTTAGACAAAGGCTATTGGAGTCAAACCATATATAAATCGGTGGAAGGCAAGGGGAAACCACCGCTGTACTATCCCAAGAAAATCATGCCACAAAATAATACATATTCAGATAACGACGTGAATGGGGTTTCCAGTGGAATCATCTCGTCGGGTAGGGAGCATCATGTTCTACGGGTGATACCCAACCGTCATCCAGCTACTGTAGAAAAAGTAAATGGTAGAAACATCATGAACATTGGTACATGGAATGTCAGAACACTCGTACAAAACGGAAAGTTGGAAAACATCAAGATGGAAATGAAAAGAATGAACATCAACATATTAGGAATTAGTGAAATGCGATGGCCAGGAGCAGGTGAAAAGTATTCAGATCAGTACAGAATTATTTCCTCGGGTGGAAAGGAATATAGTAAGGGGGTTGGTATTATTTTGGATCAAAAGAACTTAAAAACTGTGAAAGGATTTTGGACATTATCAGATTGAGTACTAATAGTAAAACTTCGCGGCAGACCGTTTGACATCAACTTAGTACAGATTTATGCCCCAACAGCAGATAGTTCAGAGGAAGATATTGACGCATTTTATGACGAGTTAGACATGGCTGTTGATCAATGCAAAAATTGTGACGTAACAATGGTACTTGGAGATTTCAACGCGAAAAAGGAAGTGAAAAAGTGTACGGAATAACGGGTGGCTATGGCCTAGGAGAAAAGAATGTGAGAGGTGACAGATTAATAGCATGGGCTGAGTCGCGCAGCATGATAATAGGTAACACCTGGTTTGAACACCATCCTCGAAGATTGTGGACTTCGGAAAGTCCTGGTGATAATGTCCGCAATCAGATTGATTATATTTTGATTTCAAGAAGATTCCAGAGCAGCTTAGTTGGAGCAAAAACTAGACCAGGAGCAGACTGCTTTAGTGACCATGTTCCAGTTGTAGGAAAATTTAGAATAAAACTAAAGAACATTAGGAAAAAACCACAGAACATCAAGTTAAATTTAGGAATTCTTAGAAAGGATAAAGAAATTAAGGACCAGTACAATGTCACTGTACAAAACCGGTATAATGCAATGGAAATTATACAGACTATTGATGAAGAGTGGGATATGTTGCATGTCAATTCAGCAGACATCTAAAGAGACAATCCCACCAACCCATAAAGTTGCAAAAAAGAAATTGATGTCAACCGAAATTCTGCAGTTGATGGATGAAAGAAGGAAGAAAAAGAATGATAAAGAAGAATACTCTAGAATACAAAAAGAAATAGTGAACAAAGGCAAAGTGGCTAAAGAAGCCTGGCTGAATCATATGTGTACAGAGGTTGGGGAAAACAACAAGAAAGACTCACATTCCACCAAAAGATAAATATGTTAACAGGAAAGATGACACATAACAGCACTGGATGTTTGAGATCAAAAGACGGTGACTTATTAATGGGACATAGTAATATAATTAACAGATGGACAGAGTTTATAGGGGAATTGTATGATGATAATAGACCAGATGTAGAACTGCAGACCAACAATGATGGTCCACCAATAATGACTGCAGAAGTTGAGGATGCAATACATCATATGAAGAAAGGAAAAGCACCCGGGCAAGACAACATCTTACTAGAAGAAATCTAAGCACTGGCAGATATTTGAATTGAAATAATAACTAAACTTTTATATGATATTTATAATAGTGGGCATATTCCAAATGACCTTTTAAAATCCATATTTATAGCTCTGCCTAAGAAACCAGGCACTATAAAATGTGAAGACCATCACACAATAAGTCTTATAAGTCACTTGACTAAGATTTTACTGAGAATAATTATGAGAAGAATAAGAAACAAAATTAAACCAGAAATCAGCGATGAACATTGTGGATTTGTAGAAGGAAAAGGTACAAACACTGCCATATACATCCTAAGGACATTGTCAGAAAGAGCTATAGAAGTAAAGACTGATTTGTACTTATGCTTCATAGACTATACAAAAGCATTTGACTGTGTGAAGCATGAAGAAGTAATCAAACTGTTAGAAAAATTAAACATTGATGGGAAAGATCTGCGAATAATAAAGAATATGTATTGGCAGCAAACAGCAGCTATAAGAATTAACAACTGTTTAGGTACTTTTCAAAGCATAAAGAGGGGCGTACAACAAGGATGTGTACTGTCACCTGATTTGTTTTCAATATACATTGAATATATAATGAGATCTTTAATTGATATGCCCAGAATTGTGGTTGGTGGGCACAATATAAACAATTTACGTTATGCTTATAGCAACAAGTCAGAAAGAACTACAGGAAATGATAGACATTGTGGTGTTAGAAAGTGGAAGAATGGGCCTCAGTTTGAATAATGGGAAGACAGAAGTAATGGTGGTATCAAAGAAATTAATTATTCCTAAGTGTGTAATAAAAGTTGATGGTGTTATTTTAGGACAAGTACAGAAATTTAAGTATCTGGGCACATGGATAACATCAGATGGAAGATGCATAACTGAGATAAGAAACAGAATTGGACAGGCAAAAACTGCATTTTATAAAATAAAAAACATCTTGTGCAATATATCCTTGTCATTGAGAGTTAGCAAAAGTTTTCTTGCTTTCTACATACATCCAGTTTTAACATATGGCTGTGAATCCTGGACAATCGGTAGGCAGGCCAAACAATTTCTGGAGGCCTCGGAGATGTGGTTTTACAGAAGAATGCTTAGAATAATACCTCGGACAGCCAAAAAGAGCAACCAAGAGGTTTTGAAAGAGGCGGGAGCTCGAAGAAAACTTATCACAGACATCAGAAGGAGACAGTCATCATTTTTTGGCCATGTTATGAGAAGAGGGAAAATATAACATGTTGTGACCACTGGGAAGATATGTGGAAGGAGAGATAGAGGAAGACAACAAGAGAAGAAGCTTGACAGTCTTGTTGCATGGCATGGAGGTGTGTCGGCACACGAACTGATATATACTGCAGGAGATCGCAGATTATGGAGAGGCAATATCGCCCACGCCAGTCGGCAAGGCACCTGATGATGATGGCGTACATGCCTTTTTGCTCTTGACAACAAATGTTAATACCTTGTATGGTGTATGACATTTTCTCTTGACAACAAATGTTAATAGCCTGTATGGTCTATGCCTTCTTTTTTATCTCGACAACAAATGTTAATAGCCTGTATGGTGTATGCCTTTTTTCTCTTGACAACAAATGTTAATTGCCTGTATGGTGGATGAAATTTTCTTGACAACAAATGTTAATACCCTGTATGGTGTATGATATTTTCACTTGACAACAAATGTTAATACCCTGTATGGTGTATGATATTTTCACTTGACAACAAATGTTAATACCTTGTATGGTGTATGACATTTTCTTGACAACAAATGTTAATACCCTGTATGGTGTATGACATTTTCTCTTGACAACAAATGGTAATACCCTGTATGGTGTATGACATTTTATCTTGACAACAAATGTTCATACCCTGTATGGTGTATGACATTTTCTCTTGACAACAAATGTTAATACCTTGTATGGTGTATGACATTTTCTCTTGACAACAAATGTTAATACCCTGTATGGTGTATGACATTTTCTCTTGACAACAAATGTTAATACCCTGTATGGTGTATGACATTTTCTCTTGACAACAAATGTTAATGCCCTGTATGTTGTATGACATTTTCTCTTGACAACAAATGTTAATACCCTGTATGGTGTATGACATTTTCTCTTGACAACAAATGTTAATACCCTGTATGGTGTATGACATTTTCTTGACAACAAATGTTAATACCCTGTATGGTGTATGATATTTTCACTTGACAACAAATGTTAATGCCTTGTATGGTGTATGACATTTTCTTGACAACAAATGTTAATACCCTGTATGGTGGATGACATTTTCTCTTGACAACAAATGTTAATACCCTGTCTGGTGTTTGACAGTATTTCCATTGACAAGAAATGGTAGTTAGAACCCTGTCTGGTGTTTGACAATATTTCTATTGACAACAAATGGTAGTACCCTGTCTGGTGTTTGACAGTATTTGCACTGACAACAAATGGTAGTACCCTGTCTGGTGTTTGACAGTATTTGCACTGACAACAAATGGTAGTACCCTGTCTGGTGTTTGACAGTATTTGCACTGACAACAAATGGTAGTACCCTGTCTGGTGTTTGACAGTATTTGCACTGACAACAAATGGTAGTACCCTGCCTGGTATATGACAGTGTTTTTGTTGACTATCTGATCTGTTGTCCTCAACTGCAGGTGACTATTTTCATATGCAGCCATGGAACTGTCTCATGCTTGAGTCAGCGATAACCACAAGAATACAGTATGGGCTTACAGTAACCGAGCTAGACTTGTGTCTCTTGGTAAGTTTGAGTGTAATCACATGTTTACAGCACACACAAACTATCATTACAGCCAGTATATTTGATATTATACATATAACTTTACTAAATAATTAATCTAGATTTCTGGTGGGCACTAAACCTGTTCTTAAGAAATTAATGTAGTTTCTTCCTCTTCAATTCCACAACCAATACTAATTACATGCTATAAATATTATCCTATGGCCTTTGTGGGGGATGGGGGGGGGGGGGGGGGGTGTTACACAGAGAGGGGAAAAAAGGGTGGGGGATTTAAGGCAGTATCATTCGTTCGGTTATCCAGTATCAAAGCCACTAGTTGATGCATAGGATCTTCTGTTTGTCTCCCCATCCAATCCTTTAGCCCAGGAAGAGTTATATCTGCTTGGTTTTCCTACATTTAAACACTCATCCACAACTCAGAGGTCATGTAATCATGTTCCCTCTTGCTCTTAGTTTCTGGCTGATATGGAGAAGATGTGGACAAGAAATGCCCTTAATGGTTTCCTGTTAGCACTTCTCAGCTCCAGTTTGGACACATCCCATCTTGACAAAGCAGCCGCTATTGTTGGTCAGGTTTGTCTGTTTTACCATTCTGTAAGCACATTAAACCCTTCCTTTACTGAACAGTGACTATTACAGACAGACTGCAGTACTTCTCATGGTAGGATAAGAAAGAACTGTATCAGTAAGGCTAAGGTACTTCCTACATTATTTTATGAAAGGACAGAGGTACTTTATAAAATGAGATACAAAAGGAGCTGTGTGTATGAAAATGTCAACAGGAGTCATGTGTATGAAAATGTCAACAGGAGCTGTGTGTATGAAAATGTCAACAGGAGTGGTGTGTATGAAAATATCAACAGGAGTCTTTTGTATGAAAATGTCAACAGGAGTCATGTGTATGAAAATGTCAACAGGAGTGGTGTGTATGAAAATATCAACAGGAGTCATTTGTATGAAAATGTCAACAGGAGTCATGTGTATGAAAACGTCAACAGAAGTGGTGTGTATGAAAATATTAACAGGAGTCATGTGTAAGAAAAGGTCAACATATGTATGAGCATAATAGGAGTCCCATGTATAAATATGTCAACAGGAGTCCTGTGTTTGAACATGTCAACATGCGTATGAACATGTGTATGAATATGTCAATATGTGTATGAACATGTCAACAGGAACCCTGTATATGAACATCAACATGTATGAAAATATCAACAGGAGTTCTGTGTATAAACATGTCAACATGAGTCATGTGTATGGAAGAGATCATCTTCTTCGCGTTCACCAGCTGTACACTCTGGCGGAAGGTTCTGGCTGCTCGTCCACTACTGAACTGCAGTCCTGCTGCAGAACCTGAGTGTTGCGTATGCATCAGTTTTACAGATCTCATTCTCTTTAATACAGACTGTTGGTTCCTTGCCTCTCCGGCAGATGCACTCCGACTTCAAAGGAAGCTCCCCAATTAGTCGACTCTTACGACATGCTTTTGGGGAGGCAGTGGGTCTATTCTTGTTTTCCCCACAATGGGGCCCCGGAACCCACATGTGGGAGGGAAGAGATCATCAAAAGATTGCCAGTTCAATGCAGAATGAACTTGATAGCATCTCCTGTTTATGAACATGGCAACATGAGCCATGTGTTTAAACCAGTCAACAGGAATCATGTGTATGGACATGTCAACATGTGTGTGAACATGTCAGCATGTGTACGAGCATGTTAACAGTACTCATGTGTATGAATATGTCATGTGTGTGAACATGTCAGCATATAAATAACCATGTAAACAGGAGTCATATGGAATTCAGCATCAGAAAGATGTGTGCTTGCTTGTTACCAGCATGGTTAATTGTGTACTTCCCCAGGTCAAGCAGTTATCTGGTGTTGTTGACAAGGAGATGTTGGTGCTGGCTGACAAGTATCTGAGAGAACTCATAACAGGGCAGGGTGGACTGACAAGCTGCTGCCACTGAATTGTTCATTTCTATGATTAATGTTTTATAATGTTCCTCCTGGTTGTGCCCTTGGAGAAGTAGCCATACTGAAATTTGCTGCAGTAAAGCAATCTGATTGTCATTAAAATGTGGTTTATTTCAAGTGATGCTTGAAAAAGTGTTTGTCATGACCCCACCATCACTGTTTAGACCCCCATATGATCCTGCATTATCTCATTAAGAAATAGAAAAGAATGTTATGTTTGGGTCCACAGAATAAACATGACCAGAAGTAGAGAACACACCTGCTGATACCTGCAAATGTTGTAGTCTTGTTTGATGGGCTACCTAGACATTCCACAAACGTGGACCATCATGTTGCAGGGCCTTCTCTGTAGTTTGAGTGTGACTGACCGACACTTTCTGTCCTGCTTTCATGATGCAGTGAGACATTAGTTCACTCGTCTGTGGATATTTTCTGCCTACAGATAACGTCTTCCTCTTGCACACAAATGTGTGGACAATAATGAAAATGGTACATGTGACTTTGCAATGCATAGTGTTGTATCTACGTGGCATGTGATATTTCTGCTGGAGACAAGGCAGAAATGTTAGTTGTGCTTGTGTTTGAAACCACATACACTTCAACTTGTAAATGTGTAACTTCCAAGTTACACGTGTAAACTTACAACACTTGAAAAATTATGCAACTCTCAACAAACTAGACAAATATTCATGGATAATAACTTCAGAGTTCCCAGGTAGTTAGCATGCTCTGGATACTCTTTCCAGGTCATACCGGTGTGTTGGGAAATGAGCAGGCAGATAGACTGGCTGGTTCTGCACCACTTGATGGCAAACTGATGTTGTGAGGACCCTCTGGGAGCGAATGAACAGTGTGGAAGTGCAAATAGATCATTACAGTCTAAGGAGAATGGTTCTATGAGGAGTTACCTGCGATTTGGCCAATGCTCAACACTCAAGGTAAGGGCGAGATGGATTTACAATCAGGAAGTTACTGGTGCCATCAGAATTGGAACTATTTGCTGCTGAAGATGTGTTCAGAGCACTTATGGGATTTCCCGAGTGCTATGATGTTGATTCTTAATTCAACATTATTGGATATAATCAGTGACGTTTTGGATTTGAATCTATATCATGGCACATTTTTGTGTTCCAAATTGTTCTTGGCTCCCAGGTTGACCCAGCTAATCTTCTTCTTCGCGTTCAGCGGCTGTAAACTCCAGTGAAGAGTTCTAGTTGTTTGTCAGCTTCTGGACTCTAGTGCTGTTCTAGAAACTGAGAGTTGCATGCACATCTGTTTCACAGGACTGGCTCAGCTGCATGCAGACTGTTGGTTGATGTACTCTGACTTCGAAGGAAACTCCTATTTAGTTGACTCTTACTACAGGCTTTTGGGCAGGCAGTGGGTCTGTTCTTGTTTTCCCCACAATGGGGATCCGGAACCCATACGGGGAATACCAGATAATGTCCTGAGAATAAAAGTGCCCTGCATGATGTGGACCACACCAACCAAGTGCTGACTGGTCTCTAAAAAATGTTTCTAGCATCTTATGTCTGATACGCCACTGCTGCAGAACTTTACTTTGACTGCAGTTATGCACAGGGACGCAAGAAAGGGACACAGACACAGGTTCTTGACTAAAAACACAATGAGAGAAAGAAGAAGGCATTTGAGCAGAAAGCTATGTTTTTGTTGTTGTGTGCAACCAACTAATGGCATTGTTGCATTGACTTGTCTCTCAGTCTGCAGCCCCCCACTGTTGGATTTGGTTTTAAAAAGTGACAGGACATTGTAGAACCAACTTCTGTTAGCACTTCGGATGGCTACCTTATGCTTTTAATGCGAGTGTATGCTAGATTTGCTGAGACGGCAGTTTGACAAGGGACTGTGATAAACATTCTGTGTGTTTTTCGTTGGCACAGGAGCGGAGCAAAGATGGGGTGACCCGTTTGCTATGAAGCTGAAATTAAAATTACCAGAACCAACTTCAGCATTTTGGTTTGGGGTGTTGTGGTTATCTAGGCTAATTTTACATTTATTAGTTTGTCATTGTTTCTGAATGGTCAGCTCTTGGTACCACTGTCAGAACCAATGTTACATAGTCTGCTGCTAAATCACCCGCAGTTGAGATCAAACCGGGCATTATGAATCGCTCTTGCAATGCCTAAGCCACAGATGACAATGCTAGATTTAGAAATAAGTTCAACTACAGCATCAAACCTCGAAAACTGAGAGGACTTACACAATTCCTGTTTTTTTCTTCAAAAATGCAAGTTTCTTCCTACCCCCCCCCCCCCTCTCCCATTTTGCGAATGTTATTACATTTTTGGGGTATATTATTACAGGCTTTTATTTATTCTAATTTTGCTGTAGTCTATTTAATTTAATATAATAATCAGCTTGGTATACGTCACCTTCCAGATTTTATTAATGTGGGTAATCTCATAGTAGGCTGTAAGGTAAATATATATTATGAATTTTTTTTTTTTTTTTAATTAAACAGTATATGTCCATAACCATTTTTTTTTAAAGACATAGGTTTAGCTGGTGTAATTTTAAACCAAAGGGGACTCAGAGCTTTATAAAACTTAGGCTTCATAAGTCTAAATGTGACACTGCCTAACACACTTTCTGTCTTTCAACAACATCCACAGAAACAATGAAACAAGTCTCTTGATTCTAATATTGAAATTTATTTTGTCCACAACATTCATTTGTCATCAAGTTGAAATAAGTACAGGTGGGTGTGAGTTAAACAGGTGCAAACATGGGCTGGGCCTGGGGGAAATATGAATGCTGACATTGTGGTGTTTGCTAGAGTTCAGACTACACTATTTGCTCCTGTTCTACTGAAGCCCTCACTGCATACATGCACACAGTTGATGTGACAGGGTAAACCAGTACACAGAGTTCCATCAAGTAGAGGGGGGTGTCACCTTGTCTGAGCATTTTCATACCTGGAAGACTTGCCAGAAAATAAAAGCAATAAATGTTTTTACATCATAACAACAAAAAGAACACTAGGAGAAATACTCATTAACAAA